AAATAATTAATATTTATTATTTAATAAATTAAAATTAATTTTTAAATGTTATAATCATATATTTAAAAAAAAACTTTAAATATAAATTAGATTAATTATAAACTTAGTAGCCCTAATAATCTTATCAATGCCCTTAATTACATCCCTGCTTTGGTCTGTGATCTTAGAAATGTCACAGATCCCAATGCTGTAGAGAACTTTCAAAGGGGTGAAAAGTTGCAAGAAAATCTGAAACGCTGTCCAATTTCTATGTTAAAGTTTTCAGTTCCATTTTTTCACTTCACAAACAGGATTGGGAAAGAGTTACAACTTACAACCCATTTTTTAAGTTAACATTTGACTTCTTCTCACAAATGTAAGGCTTCCAGGAGTCCACATCTTGCATTTTAATCTTCGTTCACCCCCTCTTTTGATTTTTTTTTCCTTCCTTACTGTGCAAAAGCCAAAGGAAAAGGCAAAAGGCAAGATCTTTTTATTTTGCTGTCGGAGAAGACTTACATTGGATAAATAGTCAAGCACAGGCATGCAGAGGCCAGAAGATAACATGACACTTACAAAAAACTAGGGTTCTCCCCCATTTCCTCTTTCCACCCCAAACCCCCTCTTCCCCCAACCCCATCGAGTTTTAAGGTCTCCTTGCGCTGCTTTGCAAACATAGAGAAAACAAATCAAGGGTTTTTCTTAGGGAGATAAAAGAGAGAGGGATTGAGAACGAAGAGCTAAGCTGGAACAGTAAAAAAACCCCAACTTTGCTTGCCTTCTTTCTCTTTCTTTCTCTCCACAGAATTGCTTCCCACCTCAGAGAGGGAGTTGGAGACATTTGGATTTTGTTTATCCTTCTGTCTCCTCTACCCTCTCTTTGTTTGTTAAATTGTTTTGAGCTATTTTCTTCATTTTTATGTATATTTCAGTTCTCAAATTTCTACTAATTCACTGATCGGTCACAAACAGAGAGTTTTTAATATGTTGAGTTATTAAGAGATTGCTTGTATTGTAAATCTACAGAGAGTGAAGTGAGTGTTAGTGGGTTGATATATATATATATAGAGAGAAGAGAGAAGAAGAAAAAGTTGTTTACTTTGATGAGTTTTGGGGGTTTTCTTGACAATAACTCTGGTGGTGGCGGTGCAAGAATCGTCGCTGATATCCCCTACGGCAATAACATGGCCGCCGGCGCAATCTCTCACCCCCGCCTTGTCTCCCCTTCTCTGGCCAAGAACATGTTCAGCTCCCCGGGCCTCTCCCTCGGCCTTGTAAATTAACCGCTCCTTCTGCTCTCACTGACTGCACTCTAATTTTCCTCGTTGCTTTTTCTCGAAACTGATCTGGGTTTTTTTTTTTTTTTTTTTGGTGATGTTTCAGCAGCAACCGAACATAGATAATCAGGGAGATCATGGGACTGCATTAGGCGAGAGTTTCGAGGCTAGTCTTGGTAGAAGAAGCAGAGAGGAGGAGCACGAGAGCAGATCTGGAAGTGATAACATGGAGGGTGGCTCCGGTGACGACCAAGACGCCGCCGACAATCCTCCCAGAAAGAAGAGATACCACCGACACACTCCTCAGCAAATCCAGGAACTTGAAGCGTATGATTTCATGCCTGAAATTCAAATCACTAATCTAGTCACTTGGGTTTTGTCCTAATTTTGGCTAATTTGTTTTTTGGTTTAGTCTGTTCAAGGATTGCCCTCATCCCGATGAGAAACAGAGATTGGAACTTAGCAGAAGGCTTTGCTTGGAAACCAGACAGGTCAAGTTCTGGTTTCAAAATCGACGAACCCAGATGAAGGTTTTTACAAATTTCTCAGACAAAATACTAAACCCTGGTTTTTGAGATTCGTACTTTGGTTTTGGTTTTGAAGTTCGATACTTTTGTTTCAGACCCAATTGGAACGCCATGAGAACTCGTTGTTAAGGCAAGATAACGACAAGCTCCGAGCCGAAAACATGTCCATTAGGGATGCAATGAGAAACCCGATTTGCGCCAACTGCGGTGGACCGGCAATAATTGGCGACATATCCCTCGAAGAACAGCACCTTAGGATTGAGAACGCCCGGTTAAAAGACGAGCTAGATCGCGTCTGTGCACTCGCCGGAAAGTTCCTGGGTCGCCCCATTTCGTCTCTGGTCACTTCTATTGCACCTCATATCCCTAACTCAAGTCTTGAACTTGGTGTCGGTAGCAATGGGTACGGCGGATTAAGCACGGTCCCCGCAACATTGCCGTTGGGACCCGATTTCGGAGTCGGACTACCAAACCCTTTGCCAGCTCCGGTGGCCCCAAACAGACCAGGGGTAGGGCTGACCCCGTCAGATAGATCGATGTTTCTGGAACTAGCCTTGGCTGCAATGGACGAATTGGTGAAAATGGTACAAATAGGTGAACCCCTCTGGATTCGGAGCTTGGAGGGCGGACGAGATGTATTGAACTATGATGAATACCTAAGGACATTTACTCCTTGCATTGGCCTGAAACCGAGTGGTTTTGTCAGCGAAGCTTCCAGGGAGACTGGTATGGTCATCATCAACAGTTTAGCTCTTGTTGAAACTTTGATGGATTCGGTGAGTTATTAAAAAAAAAAAAAAATCAGCTTTAACTATGGGGTTTTGGAAAACATTAGTAAAGGTTGCAACTTTGAAGATTTGTTTTGTTTTCTGTACATCAGAATCGATGGGCGGAGATGTTTCCTTGTATGGTTGCCAGAACCTCTACTACTGAAGTGATTTCCAGTGGCATGGGAGGCACTAGAAATGGTGCACTTCAACTTGTAAGTTCGTTTCTTCTTAGTTAAATTCTATCCTCTCTTTCTTTATGAATTTGAGAATTTGACTAAATTTAATAATATTTTAAAAATGGGGACATATATAGATGCATGCCGAGCTACAAGTGTTGTCTCCATTGGTGCCGGTGAGGGAGGTTAGTTTCCTCCGGTTCTGCAAGCAGCACGCGGAGGGGGTGTGGGCGGTGGTTGATGTGTCCATCCGAGAAACTTCCAGTTCACCCTCATTTATAAACTGCCGGAGGCTTCCTTCTGGGTGTATAGTTCAGGACATGCCAAATGGGTACTCAAAGGTAAAATTTGCAAATTTCAAGTACTAAATTGAACCCTTCTTCTCCCTTTAGGAGCTTAAGAAAACAGCGTGCCAATAAATCATGGAAATGTCCATCCCCAAGCCAGTCTAGTGCTTATGAACCTAAGAATTTTGTTTTGTCTAGTGATTACTCACTGAATCCCCCACACTGTCAGCGCCTCGTTTTGCTCTCAGGATCAAATTATTAATTTCGATGCTTCTATCTCTATCCATTACGGTATACTACTATTGTTTAATACTCAAAATTTCAACAACTAAGTCTACTTAGTGACATTAAAATATTGCTTCACAATGGAAGTCTCTACTCCTGATAATTTTAGTCATTGTTTTTTGTGTGGCTTCAACACATTAATTTCATATATCCTTGGATTGGATGTACAAAATGCATTGAAATCTTCGGACTCATGGGTTAGAATAAACTATGCATTTGATGTTTCTATTCCGATTTTTGATGCAATATCAATTATATATCCATCAGTTTTTGGATAGATATATCTAAATCTAAGTGAAGGATAATGTTAGCTGTGCGTGACTTGTTCTAACCAAGACACTGCTCAATCAATGACCTTTGGGTCAAATTTCTGACCCCCCATCTTTTGGCTTTATCCGAGTATAAAAAAAGCCTTGAGACGACATAAGTACACATTGAGATGTCACCCTTAAAAATATAATATTATCATTTTCCTTCCAAGTTCTATGATTCAGAAATATGGTTCTGTTTAATGTAGAAAGTTTTTGACTGCATTAATTCTTTTTTTTTTTTTGATAAATAAACTTATAAAGTTGAAGCATTATTAATTTGGCATAGAAAATAATAATTGTTTATGTATTGTAAAAATTTACTAATTAGATAAGCTGTTTTTTTCTAATTTAATGCAGGTTACGTGGGTTGAGCACGCAGAGTATGATGAAAGCCAAGTTCACCAGCTTTACCGACCACTACTAAGCTCCGGCATGGGGTTCGGTGCTCAACGTTGGGTCGCCACCCTTCAACGCCAATGCGAGTGCCTGGCTATTCTCATGTCTTCCAATGTTTCCGCTAGAGATCACTCAGGTACAACAATCTAGTCGTGTCTCTTTTTAACAAGTGTTTTAGTTGAGTTGGTCAAATTTAGGTAAAATCAATTGAGTTTAAAATCTTTATTCCGATATTTTTTGTCAATGCAGCTATAACTGCTGGTGGTCGACGGAGCATGTTAAAGTTAGCGCAACGCATGACTGACAACTTCTGTGCTGGTGTGTGCGCCTCGACTGTACACAAATGGAACAAGCTGGATGCCGGAAACGTGGACGAAGACGTTAGGGTTATGACACGAAAGAGCATTGATGATCCCGGGGAACCACCGGGCATTGTATTAAGCGCGGCAACTTCCGTATGGCTGCCCGTCTCCCCTCAGCGGCTGTTTGATTTCCTGCGTGACGAACGGCTAAGAAGCGAGTGGGACATCCTATCCAACGGCGGACCCATGCAGGAAATGGCCCACATTGCCAAAGGCCAGGATCACGGCAACTGCGTCTCCCTCCTCCGCGCCAGCGTACGTAATCACAAACCCCCTTTTTCTTTTCCTTTACCCTGCTTTGATTTTTCCACACACATGGATAAAAAAAAGTAGAAATGGAAAGGACAGAGTCTGGAATTTGGGTTCTGGAAATATCCAAAAAGACAAAATAAGATGACATGTTTTGGCCTTAAGGGTTTGTAATTTTGTTAAAAAGTCAAAATATAAGGACACTTGGGACCTTTATGAATAAAGTTAAAACATTATTTCATCAAGTTCTATAATTTTTTTTTTTTTTTCAATTTGGTTTTGCAGGCGATTAACCCGAACCAGAGCAGCATGCTGATATTGCAAGAGACATGCACAGATGCGGCGGGGTCGCTTGTGGTGTACGCGCCCGTTGACATTCCGGCCATGCATGTTGTGATGAACGGTGGCGATTCTGCCTACGTAGCACTCCTCCCTTCAGGGTTCGCTATCGTCCCTGATGGTCCAGGCTCGCGTGGGCCTACTCCTAATGGTCCCGTTAATGGCGGAGGAGGCGGCTCAGCAAGAGTGGGTGGGTCCTTACTGACGGTGGCTTTCCAGATATTGGTTAACAGTCTTCCAACGGCAAAGCTCACTGTGGAGTCGGTGGAGACGGTCAACAATCTGATATCGTGCACCGTTCAGAAGATAAAAGCTGCGCTTCAGTGTGAAAGTTGAGGGGCAGTCTTTTTTTCTCCTCTTTTTCTTTTTTCTTTGTACTGTCTTTTTTTACTTTATATACTAATTTAATTACGGTATTTGTAATGTAGTAGTGGTCGTGTTTAGGGTTCATGAGTGAGTGTTTCTCGTGTGTGAATCAGTGAGTTTGGGGTGTTGAGTCAAGAACGAACCGCGCGTAGATGAGTCCTTGCCGGTGATGAGTGAGTGAGTGCAATGAAGCAAGGATAGTGGTTCGGGTATTGACTCAGGTCGACCCCAATGTTGGTGGTGGGCTCAAACAGAAAGTCAAAATGTCCAAAGAACAAAATGTCATTTTTATTGAAGAGTGCTAATTTTCAGTTAATTAACGTTGCATTTGTTAATGAATTGAAGACCCTGTTTGCAGCCTTCATTTTTTTACTTATTCTTTTTCACTGAAGACTATTCCGGTTACCGCCGCCAGTGGTGGTGGTGGTGGTGGTGGTGGCGGTACAACGCTCCACCGGTGAAAGTGGGGTCTAGTTGGGGGGATGAGAATGCATTTAATGCAAAGGCTTTGGATTCGATACCAAAAATGAAACTAGGCCACGTCTTGGGACTGTATTCGACAGAGGGACAAAAGATGAGAACAACTATTCGGTGGAAGTGTGGGTAACGACGACGTTCTTGAGAAATGAACTGTACCGGAGCTGTCTCCGGTATGGATTGTGGTGAGTGAGCCAAGTTATGGGGTTGTGAATGAAACAATAATAGTAGTACTAATATTCATCATGAAGATGGATATTTTGTTTGAACGAGTGTTTAAAATAATATAAAGTAAAATCAGACCTTCTAATTTAACAATTTATTTTTAAATTTTAAATATTTAAACATAATTAGTTAAAATTTTGATTTTTACCATCAACTTAAATACAAATATGCTCATTTTTAAAATTTTTTATGTTAAAATAATAATAATAATAAAATATATAGTATGTACAGTTAAATCTATATAATCTAAACTATTAGATGAAAATGACGAATTCTTGTGTTGTATTACAAAACATGAAGCTTGTAGGATGTGTTTGGTTGGTCAAATGTCTCAGGAATTAAATCTAGAGAGGTCCTAAGGTAAAACCAATTAAAGCAGTCTTAGATTTTGAAAAATGTGCCTGAAAGATGAAATTTGAGTACAACTAATAAATTATGCTATTATTATGTTCGTAATTATTAATATTATATTGTATTATTTTAATTAATTATTTTTTTTAATTTATTAAAAAATAAAAATTTAATAAATAATTACATTATTTAAATAATGAGTTATTAACAATATAAAGTGTAATAAATAAACAACCCCACTCATAATCAATTAATAATACTTTTATATTTGGTTAAATGAAGACATTGCCAACTATTTTGAGATATTTAACAAACCTGGAAGATTTTCATCCTATATATTTAACCAGGAAAAAGAATCCTACGTAAAACAATTAATTAACTTCATTTTTACTCAGTTATATCCATTCATATGCACTTTTTTTAAATAAAAAAAATTCAATATCCTGGACCAACCCAACACCATTTTTAACTCCAGTTTCCCTGTATTGAATTTCCGAGACAGCAGTCAACCAAACCTGCCATTAAAATAACTCATTTCTTCTTGCGTGGAATTAAAAGTTAACAACGCACTGGAAAAAGTTGGTAAAAAAAATTGAAAACAGCTACCCTGGGTCAGACCGTACCTCTACAATAATTGTTATTTGCCACTTCATTTCCAATCCCCGAGATTCAAAATTGAGAAATTTATTTTAAAATTTTATTGGTTGGGGGCAGCAAGTACTACTCTTTTAAGAGCAGTGCATTATTTGCTTTCTTTATTATTATTATTATTTTTT